GAAGTTGGTCAGTTTATTTTTGTGCATCACATAGTGTTTTTTCGGTGTTTTTTTTTTTCTTTTTTTTTTGCTGGGCCCTTCACTGGTCCTCGCACGGCCCCGACGCCCGGCCAAACCGGGTGATCCGGGCGGCCCGGCTGGTTGCCCAGCTACTACTACTACTACTACATAATATTCTTCACTCCGGTCACGTCGCGTTCGGGTTTTCCGCGTTTACCGTCTGTCTTCTTCTGCTTTCTCTCTACGACTCTTTCCCTCTCCCTCTTCTTCTTCTTCTTCTTCGTCTTCTTCGTCTTCCTCTCTACGACTCTCTGGGCCGCAAGGCAGGGTTATGTAGAACCCCCCCTGAAGATGATCGGAGCGCAACCGGTCGAAACGCGTCCCGGATTGTGCACGTGAGCTGAGACGAGTATGCGCGGCTGTGCATTGATGCGCTTTTTTTTTTTTTTTTTTTTTTTTTTTGCATTGATACGCTTTCGAAGCGTGTATGAAAGGCAGTTGGCCACTGTTTCCACTATTCTTCTTCTTCCTCTCTACGACTCTCTCCCTCTTCTTCTTCTTCTTCTTCTTCTAATCTATCTGATTTTCTTGTGTTCGCTCTTCCACTAATCTCTCTACGACTCTCTCCGTCTTCTTCTTCTTCTTCCAAACACAAGCAAGACATACCCTTTTCTCCGAGTGGTCATAGGGTTTTTCAGAGTTTACTGCCCTTGCAAGGAGGGCAGTTGCGAAATATACCCGTGCGCGGGAGCAAGCCTTCGCAGATCGACGAGAGGGGAGAGGGAGACAAGTGCAGGAGAGCCCTTGCAAGGAGGCCAGTTGCAAAATATACCCTTTTTATTTTATATAATAATCAAACATTGAAAAGAAAAAAAAACAGAACACAACAAGAAAAAAGAACAGAAATGAAAGTATACGATAAATATTTAAACACAAGCAAAATAAACTCTTTTTATTTTATATAATAATCAAACATAAAAAAAAAACAGAACAAAACAAGAAGAAAGGACAGAAATGAAAGTATATAATAAACACAAGCAAGATATACCCTTTTTTATAAAATCATAGAAGGCAAAAAACAAAAACAAAAAGGCGGCAAAGAAATTTATTTAGGTGTAATAAACCCAAACCATGCCTTCTTTTCGTGAGGAGATCCCGACCTATCGTAGCGGCCGTAAACAGAAAGCGAATGAGAGATGGAGGTCGGGATCTCCTCACAAACAACCCGGATTGTATTTGGGACCACCACCTTCGTAATATAACTGATTTTTCTTCAGAAAAAAGAAAAAAAAACGGCCGCAATAGGAAAAGGAGAGAAACAAAGAGAGACAGGAAAAGGAGGGGACGCAAAAGGAAGACAGCGTTCGTTTAAATTAAAATAAAATAAAATAAAAAGGGAAGAAAAAGGATGAGAGAAAGAAGGGAAAGAGAGGGAGCAAAGCAAAAGGAAAAAAAACGAGAAGAGAGAGAGGGAGAGAGAGGGAGAGAGGGAGAGAGGGAGAGACAGGGAGAGAGAGGGAGAGAGGGAGAGAGAGGGAGAGAGAGGGAGAGAGAGGGAGAGAGAGGGAGAGAAGGAGATTATACGACAAACAGACAGACAGAAAAAAAGACAACTTAAATACCACACAAGGCGGCAAAAATATTAACGCAAGACCCGGAAAAAAAAAAACGCGATAATCAAATCCACAAAGGGAATGAGAGATGAGAGGACAAACAGATTAATACAATGCGAAAAATAAATAAAAATGGAGGCAAATCCGTTCACAGACTTGCAATTACAGAAAAGAGAGAGAGAGAGAGAGATGATGAGAGAAAGTGGGGATCGATCCCGTGACGTCGTGGAGGAAGAGATGAATGTGCACGCGACGGATTTAGAATTCCCAAAAGAGCAAAAAAAGGGAAAAAAAAACAAAAACAAACGTACAAGGAGGCAAGAAAAAAAGCCATGAAGACGGCCTAAAAAACAAAAAGAAGATGACAATATATATCGTCACAAACAGATATAATACATATGTATATACATCGATATATATAAACGATATACATAAACGATATATGCATACATATTGTCCTCTTCTCCCTCTCTGCCTACGGTTTTTTTTACCGGGCAGTTTATGGATTAATTGTTAAAAATAGAATTGTTAAAAATAAAATCGTTAAAAATAATAACTTCAAACGTTGTTGTAAAATGGTACCATACGTTTTTTTTTTACCGGGCAGTTTATGGATTAATTGTTAAAAATAAAATTGTTAAAAATAAAATTGTTGAAAATAAAATTGTTAAAAATAAAATTGTTAAAAATAAAATTGTTAAAAATAAAATTGTTAAAAATAATAACTTAAAGGTTGTTGTAAAATGGTACCATATCGGCCTCATTGCAAAAAACTTACGACACATTTAGAATCCCCTCTTCTTGAAAATTAATACTAAAAAAACGCTAAAATCGTTAACTACAAAATCATATTAAAATAATATATATTTTTTTAATAGAATTCCCATCTAAAACTACCTCATTCATATCAGTAAACAACTTCACCAAACAGAACTGCCCGGTAAACCGAATATATATATATCGTCACATGAACATCAGAGCGCAAAAGCGAAAAAAAACAGAAGGAACCAAAAAAGATATCAATTCGTTTATTTATCTTCTTCCTTACAACTCCCCCTGTTCAGAACCTCTGGCGTACAAGGCCGCCCACGTGGATGTAGGTTGAGCGGCGGCTGCCCCCACCCCCGTGTGTCATATCGACCCACCTGCACACAGCCAAAAGGCGAAGAGGCAAAGAAAAGAGGAAGGGAACAGCCAAACATTACAGAACAGGGGGCAAACGAATCCTAGATGACAAGTCCCACATGCAGACACCGCCCCCGACAGCACAGTATATAGTCACACTGCGAATCGGAGCGCAAAGGCGGAAAAATGCAAAACAAGGAAAAGAAGGAAGGAAAGCCCCACCTGTTCATCACCTGTTACGTACAAGGCCAGCCACGTGGATGTATTTTTTTTTTCGATAAATAAACAAAATAATTCTACGATAAATAAACAAGTAATTCTGTGATTAATAAACAAATAATTCTACGATAAATATAGCAAATACAATGAGCAGATCGCCGCGTAATTTCCAACCCAATGAAGGGCGAATTGAAAAACAAAACGACCAACAAAACTGATGCGTAAAAAAATGAAACAAAGAAAATTAAAAATTATAGGTCGAGATCGCGGTAATAATAATATACATTTAAAAACAAGCAGCAATATCGACATTTATTTATAAAAATATTGGAGATGATTAAACGCTTTTTAAAAACTAATAATAACAATAATGAGATCGATCAACTTACAGGACTTCTCGGACTCGGTTTGTTCGCATCTGCCCCTGACTGAAGCCGCTTCGACAATTTCCAATCGTTGCCTTTCCGTGCCAACTCATGAACGCTAGGTCCCACCCCCATTTCTCTCTCTCTCTCTCTCTCTCTCTCTCTCTCTCTCTCTCTCTCTCTCTCTCTCTCTCTCTCTCTGTGTGTGTGTGTGTGTGTGTGTGTGTGTGTGTGTGTGTGTGTTT